AAACTTCCAGGGGCTTTCCAGGGGTAAATGTACATTCCAGTCCAATGTCCTGTCTTTTTTACCTCCACATATTTAGGTCTGAACAATGAAGACAAATATTCCTAATGATGACCTTGACATAGTTTAAGATTCATCAAAGCAAGAGTGCATGGTGCTCATTAGACAGGATTTCCTAAAATAGGAACTACACAAATACATTTTTGAAGCTTAACTACAGGGTTTGAGAAAAGAAACAAAACTTTTCTGCTTGAGGACCAAAAAATCACATTAACCAGGTCCCCTGTCCCCTAGTCCCCAGGCTCTTCAGTTAATTTAGGAGTAATGGACACTGGGCAAAAGATACAGAAGAAATAAGGATTCTAAAAGTCACCAGTGACCTTCGCAAAATCCGAATCAATGAAGTAATTCTTCTTGACTTTCTCTTTGGCTTCTGGCAACAGAGAACTATTGGGTCATCTTACTTTTCTGATCATTTTCTTCTCGTTGCAGAATCCTCTTCATCTTTCCATTTCTTACTCATGAACATTTCTTGTACTCAGTCTTTAGCTCTTTGATTCCTGTACTTCTCTCAGAGAGCACATCCAGTGTTATACCTCTCACTCCTAAATTTATGACTCAGTACTGAATGCTCTCTGAGCCTACAATCCCATATTGCTAACTACTTATTGGATTGCTTTTCATGGATATCTTACCATAAAAATCAAAACGATCTTATTTTCCTTAACACATAAAATGTTTTTCCAAATCCAAGAGAAAAGACAAACACCCCATTTTTTTAAATGGGCAAAGAAATGACTAGGTAATTCATATACACAAATTCACATATACAGTTGAATAATGAAAACATGTTCACCCTCACTAATACAATGCAAATGAAACAACAATGCTATTTTTCAATGATTCAATTCACAATGGTTAAAAAGCCTATGAAACTTGGTGCTTGTGGGTAAACACTCACATATTAGAGGTAGAAATATAAATTTTGTACTATTCTCTATTCAATAATGTATCAACATGCACCAAAGTCTTTAAAATGTGTGAACCTTTTGATCTAGTAGGCTTCGATTCTAGGACATGATCAGAGATATATGCAAACCTGGAAGAACCAGTGTTATTATATTGAAACACTTGAGTATATACTAAGTGTCCAGCAATAGAAGATTGGTTAAGAAAATATGAAAAATTCCTGCACTGGAATGCTATATGACCAATAAAAACAATTTTTTAGAAGCATGTTTAGTTACTAAAAAAATCCATACTATTTTAAGCAAGGTAATAAAAAGGGTATGAGTTCAGGTAATGAAAAAGAATATACAGCAGTATTCTTATTTTATTAAAAAAACAAAGGCATACAAAAGGCAAGCATAGTGGTGCACACCCATAATTCCAGCATTTTGGGGAGCTGAGGTAGGAGGATCACAAGTTCAGAGTCAGCCTCAGCAACTTAGGGAGACATTAAACAACTTAGCAAGATCATGTGTCAAGATAAAAAACAGAAAGGGTTGGTGATGTGACTCAGTGGTTAAGTGCCTCTGGGTTTAATCCCTGCTACTCCCCTCCCCCCAAAAGGCATACAGATTGGAGGAAAATACATAATAAATATTAAATGATGATCTCTGGAGAGTGATTTTTATTTTCTTCTTTATGATTTCTGCAATGAACATTGATTACTATTATCAAACATAAAACCTGTAAGTAGCTGAGCATAGTGGCACGTACACCTGTGATCCCAGCGGCTCGGGAGGCTGAGGTAGGAGGATCACAGAGTTCAAAGCCAGCCTTGGCATAATCAAGGTGCTAATAAGCAACTCAATGAGACCTTGTCTCTAAATAAAATACAAAATAGGGCTGGGGATGTGGCTCTGTGGTCAAGTGCCCCTGAGTTCAATCCTTGGGCCCTAAACAACAGCAGCAGCAACAACAACAACAACAACAACAACAACAACAAACCTGTAAGTAGATTTTTTTTTTTTTTTAGTAAAAACTTTTTGAAAACAATGTTAGACATTCCCACTAACCAAGTTCTCTTTCCTGGACTCTCTCTGTCCTTGCTGGTATCAATCAAGGTTTAGATCTTGAAGTCAGCTTTGATTATTTTCCCATTCCTTCTGCCCAGCCACTTATTGAGTCTCATCCCTCCTTTAGGGCATCTCTCAAATTTGTTCCTTTTTTGTGAATGTGGTGCTGGGGATGGAACCAGGGCTTCATACATGCTAAGCACACATTCTACCACTGACCTATACCCCCGGCCTCTTTCTTGAGTCCTAAGTCAAATCAGTTCACTTCAACCAGCATTTATTGTCACAATACTTGGATGTCACTCTGTCAGTTCAACATTATTGGAGCCCTCTTCCAATGTGTATCCCTGCCCTAGTCTCCTGTTCCTCCAATTAGTCAAACCACCCTGTAGCTGGAGTGATCTTTCATAAGCCCTACTTGTATCATGGCCCTCCCTGCTTAAACATACTCAAAATTCCCCAAGTCCCTTTGCCTAGGGAATACAGCTCATACTTTTTATTTTGCTATTTGGGACTCTTTATTTACAGCACTGTGCTGGGTGGGAGATAATGGTGGGCACATGGGAGGAGCTTGGCAAGTTTTTTTAAATTCCTTTATTATTTATTTATTTATATGTGGTGCTGAGGATCGAACCCAGTGCTTCACACATGCTAGGCAAGTGCTCTACCACTGAGCCACAATCCCAGCCCCTTGGTAAGTTTTTGACAATAAAATATATCAAAGAATAAGGTGGGGAGCTTTCCCCACTGCTCTCCACTGTCTTTTGTTTGAGAATCCCTTTCCTCTTCTTTTGGCACTTGGATCCAGGGTTTTGGAGCACTTGACATTTCATGGTGCTGAATTTGGAGACAGGAAGGGGCAGCCAGAGACGATAAAATATGGCTCAGGAAACCTCAACTCTTGAGTCCATCCCAATTTCCAAGGCCTGCTATGTAGGAGGCTCTGTGGAGGAAGCATATTGCTTCTTAAATCCCTTCTTCCCTGCAGTGTTGAGGACTAAGAACTAAGTCTGGGGATCTTACATCTTACTGTTGGCTTTAATTAAAATGGAGAAGGGGAAACAGAAAGAGGTGAATGTAGAACAAAGCCCTGCGTGATGTGGGTCCTTCATGAAACTCAGCTGTCTTCAGGTGCCTTTCTGGGGCACAGAATACACCAACCTGACTGAATGATGGCATATGGTCGTCTGTCAAGAATGCTCCACTGGGAGTGTGTGGGGTGAGTTGTGTGAGGATAATGAACTCACCAGATGGCAGTAACCGGCACTAGCTCTTGAAGGATCTGATGACACCAGTGGAAGTGGGATCCCGAGCTGGGTGAAGGGCTGTCTGGGAGCCAGTTCTGATGAGGACTGAGAGGCTCCTCCACCATCACAGCCCATTCCTTTCAGTGTGAAGCATGTGCTTATTATGGACCTAGTGTGATAGCAGATCCAGCCAGTGTAAGCTTAGTGAAGACTGGAATGCTGGGGCAGGCCTCCTGGCACTAACCATGCCCTTTGGGATTGCTCTTGGCATCTTTCTGGTTACGGAAAGCCTGGGGCAGCCCCACCCAACACAAATGCTGACTCTTCCCATAGCCCATCATTCTTTCTAGCTTGCTGTCTCCAGCTTCCCTTCTCCTCCTTTCTCCCCCTTTCTTTCCCTCCTCTCCACTATGGCCATTGGCAGTTGACACTCCATTCAGGCCCTTTCTGTCCTTCACTCAGGCTCTTTGGAAACCTGCCTTAGTTTGAGGCACTTCCTGTTTGGTAAAGCCATTAACTAGCTGTAAGCAGCTTTGGGCCTTGCAGGCGAAGCAAAGGCCCTCTGCTTTCCATGGCTGGGAGTGGCTTGGCTGACTCTTGCGGAGTCAAGGGAACCAGAGGGAACCTGGAGGCAGCTTCCTCTAGCTAGAGGGAGCCAGGGTGTTTTATGGCAGTATTGGTCAGCCCAGGATCCAAGGATGCCCTCCTGGTCATTGCACTGTGAGGTTATCCTTGGATAACTGCTGTTGACTGAGCGGTTACCATGTGCCAGGGACCATACTAAGTGCTCGAAGAGCATTTTCCTATATAACCTGCACATCAGCTACTAGTTTCTGATTTTATTTTATTTTGGTGTACTGGGGAATGAACTTGGGGCACTTTACCACTGAGCCACATCCCCAGCCATATTGTGTATTTTATTTAGAGATAGGGTATTCCTGAGTTGCTCAGCACCTTGCTTTTCCTGAGGCTGGCTTTGAACTTGCGATCTTCCTGCCTTAGCCTCCTGAGCTGCTGGGATTACAGGCATGTGCCACTATGCCTGGCTCTAGTTTCTGATTTTATCATGGGGAAACTTTGAGAAGTTAAATAACTTGTCAGAGGCCTCATAGCCAGAAGGTGGCCGACATAGGGCTCTAACTCAAACCTGCCTGATTTCAAAGTCTATGCCCCTTAACCTCTATGCTATGCCGCTTTTATAGGTTCTGGAGAGAGGATTAATTGCTATCTAAGGTTTTGGGGATATTTACTGACTACTTATGCATGTACTAAGCTCATTGCATGTATTAATTAGCATATCTGCATCTCCCAGTCAACTTTAAGATAGGACATATTGTCTCATATGACAGTTGTGGAAGGAAACCAAGTCTCATTGAGGTTACCCAGCTCATAAGCAATTAATTGCAGATTTAACCCAAGTCTGAGAACTTTGGATGCCAGTGTTCTCTTCCCCTGACCCTGCCTTCCCACTCCTGAAAAGCCCCCTCTGTAGTTTGCTCTACAAAAGGGATTGCGGAACTATGGTGACATTCAGTGGTAAGCCTAGAAGATGCCTGGGTTCTTGAATACATGACAGGCCATTTTGCTTTGAGGCAGGGAGTACCTGAAAGGACTGAAACCAGGGACCTGGATGGTTATTACTTCCTATCATGGAGAGCATTTGGATGGAGAACTGAGACCCAGATTAATTTTAAGCACATTTTGATTTTTCTCCCTCCTTCTCCTCCCAAATTAGGGTGAAGGTTGCCGAACCGTCCCCCTGGCTGGACATGTGGGGTTTGACAGCTTGCCTGACCAGCTGGTGAATAAGTCAGTCAGCCAGGGCTTCTGCTTCAACATCCTGTGCGTGGGTGAGTATTTCCATTGCAGGAAATTCTATTACAGAATATGGATCCTTAATGGCTGGATGTGGCTTTGCAGGTAATTAGGTTAAATAGTGTGTCATTCAGATCTAGTTGCAAGAGCGTTCCTCTCCCTCTATCCGGCCTTCTTCTCTTATCCATCTGCTTATTTTTGTAAGCAGCCAACTGTAATTACTATGTTTTTCCTTGGCTGGACCAGAACCTGGGGCCATACTTTGGGGGAAACGGAGCTGCGTGAGACCCAGTGGAAATTTTGTAAGGGGGCTGGCTGGCTCCGTTCCTGCTGTCAAGTTCATTTTGACTGCAGAAGACAAGAACCAGGACAGAATGGGGAGGGAGGTGATGGCTGAGGAAAGAAAGAGGCCACCTGCCTACCAGCTGCGGGCAGTGGGTTGAGTCTATTGGTTCCTTCTGCAGCTTCTCTGTTCTCAGTACAATCTAAGCTCAAGTGCAGGCTCACACAGCTGCCCGCAGGTCTTCTGTTTCCCTTATCTGTATCTCTGTCTAGACCTTTAATCTCAACTGTGGGAGCTTAGTGTCCCCTCCATATGCTAATCAAGGCACAAAGGGAATTCAGTAATGTTTGTGAAATGAATGGATGGATGAGTTAACTCCATAGCAGCTATTCATTATAGTTCTCAAATAGTTTCTCAGATTAGTTCTTTTGGACCTTACTCTGCAAAGTGAGCAAAGCAAGTAGTGTTTGTATTTTCATGGAACACATGGAGACCCAGAAACTTGGGGAGGATAAAGTGTTTATCTGAGACAACAGAGAAAAAGTGGCTGAGCCATAATATGGATCCATCCCTTATCCCTCCCATTGCTCCTCTAACTGTTGCCAACCACATCTCTTGAGAACACGAAAGCACTTTGGAAACCATTGAACACCAATCAAACAAACAAAAGGGACAATAGTTTCTTGGTATTCTTTGAAAAATCCCAAATTTGCAAACACAATCGTAGACTATAATTTTCACCCCACAGTGCAGGAAAGTATACCTACATATTTTCAGTGACCTCCTTAATGATTGTATAAACACCATAATAAAGTCAGTTTTCACACTGGCTGGAACACTCAAACAATTTCGTTAATTGCCTTTTCTTAGTTTTGTATGGAGTGTCTAGGGAACTCGTTCATGTTGTAGATCTGAACCAACACCAAACTGGATATTTTACTCTTTAATGTATTTAAAAAAAATTTTTTCTCACTAAGTTCATTCTTTTTCCTTGAGCTCTTTATTTTTACTTCCAATCTGGGCCCAGCCATCTTTTTTTTTTTTTTTTTTTTTTGGTACTGGGGATTGAGCTCAGGGGCACTAGACCACTGAGCCACATCCCCAGCCCTATTTTTTTTTTTTTGTATTTTATTTAGAGACAGGGGCTCACTGAGTTGCTTAGCTCCTCACTTTTGCTGAGGCTGGCTTTGAACTTGTGTTCTTCCTGCCTCAGCCTCCCAAGCTGCTGGGATTACAGGAGTGCACCACTGTGCCCAGCCCCAGCACTCTTTTTTCAGGTCACTTTCTGTAAGAATCGCTGCATACTCAAGGACAAATAGAGAACAGCAAAGCCACTTCTGGATCTGAATGACAGGCAGTTAGCTAGGCTCACTCACTTGCTGAATGACTCATTACCACATATCAGCTTTGGAACCTATGAGATGAAAATATGTGCTTCATGGAATTACATATCAGGACTTAGGGTCCAGACCGAGGTTATTAACTCTTTAAATGCTGAAAGTCTAACTTATAGGTATGTTTAGGTGAGGTCAGGAGAGGGATACAAAATAAATAAGTCACAGTGATTGGCATCAAGAGCAAATGCTATCACATTCAATATTAGCACTGCCAAATCTTTATTTAACTAACAAGAGCTCCAATCTTTAGCAGATGATGGACAACTTACTTCACATAATATTGGATTATCAAAATATTTCAGCACAGACGTATCAGATTCCCTTGGCATTTCTCCCAGAGCTCCATATGACCTGTGCTGAGAGATGAGAAGTGAAATGACAGACCCACCATAAGCAACCTTTCAACTAAGCAGTTGGGTGGTCTAGTAAAGCCTTGGGAGGGAGGCCATGTGAATCAGAATGGTTCTTTGGTGGCAGAAGTGTAGGGAAATTTGACATGTGGATCACAGCTCCCCTGGGGCTCAGAGGAAGAGGCAGCCAAGCTCAAGACAAATTGAGTGGGAGAAATAGTACCCCCCCCCCCGTCTTCTGTTTCCTACCTAGACATTGTACAGCTACAACTGCTTCAGTATGTACCTGCTGGGATGGAATCGCTCAAGTGCTGGGATGGTCCCTTCAAGAGGGGAAGGGTAGGAAAGAGGACCCTATCACCTGCAAGGAGTCTCAGGATATGGCTGCCCCAGTATTTCCTGTTAGACCTGCAGGTGCAACCATTGGATAAAACAGCTTGGACTGGGTTAATTTCATTCTTTATCCCTGACCCAAAAAAGCCTACGACTCATGCATCTTACTCTCTTGCTGTCCTTGTAACCCTGTCATTGCTCAGAGAACCCACAATTTGGACCAAGGTCATAAGTGGCTTAGAGTGGCTCTGAGGTTGCAGTCTCAGCCAGCTATAGTGCTGAGTCCTGCCACTGACTTGGCGAAGAGTCCATAGCTTGGCTGTTGAAGGTGATCTTTCCTCTTGCTTGGGGTGACTGTTGGGTTTACTTCCTTAACGACTGCTATAAAATGATTCATAGAATATGGTCCCCTAAACTATTTTCCTTTCTTTTCTGATAGAGCATTCTCACTATAAAATTATGGTAGTGCTACCTTTGATTATTAACTGAGATCTAGGATATTGTTCACATTATCATTTACTTTGGTGTTGAGCTCTGATTGTAGCCCTATATCCAGCAGAGTAGGCATCCTACGTACGTATGTGCATATATGTGTGCATATGCATGTGTATATGTTGAGATTGAGAGGGCGAGTATTTTTATGAATACAGAGCCTAATTTTTATGTCAGGGTACCAATTAATGGCTCCCACAATTATTATTTTGGGCTAGAAACATGGACATGAGCATAATATGACTCCTCTCCAATAGATTTGCTAGGGTTGACAATAATTACTTAGTGGGGTGAAGGTCCCCTCTCCCTACCAAAATTATATAAAAATCTCTTGGCTTTGGAAATCTTGAGGATCCCATGATTGTAGATAGAGTATAAGGGCCTTAGAAGAACCACCAGAGCCAGCAAAACAAATGTTCTGGGGCCCATTGCTTTGCACTGCTGGGAAAGGGCCCCAAAGAGATTCATCCATCTAAATGAGCAACCGTAATGTCTGTGAGGAATACAAAGGGTCATAATGATAATATTTACTTTGAAGCTGCTCAGGATTCCAGGCTCAACTGGGTTCTGTCGGACTTGGAAAAAACATACACAAGAGAAGCAGAATTCCAGCTTGCTACAGGAGGAGGGAAAGGGCAGCTAGCATTCTACCTAAGTCAGGGGCCAATTGTTTCATTCCTGTGTCTCTGGAAAGACAGTTGCTTACCTAACAGACTGGCTGCAGTGGTCAACTTTTTTTTTTTTTCTTTTTGTAATGCTGGGGATTAAACCTAGTGAGCATATTATATCTCTAGCCCAGCAATGATCAACTTCTTTTTAAAATTTTTTTTTTTACTGAGAATTGAACCACTGAGCCACATCTCTAACCCTTTTTAATATTTTATTTAGAGTCAGGGCCTCTCTGAGTTGCTTGAGTTGCTAAGTCACTGAGACTGGCTTTGAATTTGCCATCCACCTGCCTTAGCCTCCCAAGTTGCTAGAATTACAGGTGTGTGCCACTGTGCCTGGCAATGATCAATTTCTAACAGGCTATTGCAGGGGAAAACATGATGTGGTTTATAGCATCTGTTGATGTTCTTGGTGTTATTACTCCCACCATACCTGATTTTAAGCTACCAATACGACATCACTGCATGTGAGTTTGGGAAAAGATGCAGGAAGCCAGAAGAGCTGGCTTTAACACACCACAGTCTGCCAGGACTCTACAAGATCAGGAAGGAGAAAAGGGCAAGGTCATAAAGCCAGGCATGGCCTTGTCCCTGTCCATAGGCTCCTCTGGTCAACTGGAGTTCCTGAAGCATTTCCTTTTGGACACCTCCCTATTGAGCCCAGAGACATTTCTCTTGGTTTAGTCCAACATTCAGAGCTGGAAGCAACTGCAGCTCCATTACAGCAGGGATCGAGGCTATCTTGTTCATTGCTGTATAACTGTGCCTGGCTCCTATTAGAGGCTTTTAAAATACTTGTCGAATGACTAAATGAACAAACATTATGCCTATGGGCCTCACTAGAATATATTGGTTAAAAGCATAGGCTCCAGCGTCAGTCTGCCTAGATGCATATTCTGGCTCTGCTACTTATTAGTTTGTGACCTTGGACTGTTAATTCCTCCATATTGTATAGGAAAATAAGATGTGGAGGGGTGGCTGAGAACCTGTAGCTGGTGAGTGGCTTGGCTAATCCATCTGTTAAATGAGGATAAATTGTAGTAACTTGGGGCTGGAGGTGTAGCTCAATGGTAGAGCACTTGCCTAGCATGCAAGAAGTCCTGAGTTTGATCTCCAGCACTGAAAAAAAAAAAAGAAAAGAAAAAAATATATAATCTACCTTAAAGACTTGTTGGGAGGAATAAATAAGAAAATATATGGAAGCTGGGGACATAGCTTAGTGGCAGAGCTCTTGCCTGGCATGTGCAAGACTTAGGATTCTATCCTGAGCAATGCAAAAAAGAAAAGAAAATATATGTATTTATTTACAGCAGTGCTTGGCACAGAGTAAGTGCACCATAAACAATAGCTATTATTGTCACTCCAAACTTCTCCTTTTATAGGAAAAGACACTGGGACTCAGAGAGAGGAAAGGGCCGAGCCAGCTCAGGTCACATGGTAATTTAGTGATAACCTGGCTGGGACCTTTCATTTCATAACATGCAGGACTTAATTGTACAAGGTGCCAGAGGGTGCAGATATTGACAGCAACTGAGGAAAGGGGCTAAATTTTTCTTTATCACAGTGGCTTTTAACCCAGGGTGGGGAGATCAACATCAGATTGTCTCAGGGAATATAATTTGAAAAAGCATGTTTCATACTACATGCCTTAAATTAATTTATCAAATTAATTTATTTAAAAAAACCTGTTGTTTCTAGAATACTATCTACATTAAGCAACATGAGACAAAATCTTCTTAAATGATGGAACACGAGTTAAAAAGGGTTAATAGAGGCTGGGGTTGTGGCTCAGTGGTAGAGTGCTTGCCTAGTATGTGTGAGGCATTGGATTTGATCCTCAGTATCACATAAATATAAAATGAAGATATTGTGTCAACATAAAACTAAAAAATAAAAATAATAAAAATATTAATAAACCCTACTATCTACTGTGAGATGCTCTGGGAGGGCTAGGGAAAGGAGGGGGCAATGGACCCCCCTCAGGACTCCTCAGGTTCCCTTCTGGAATCTAACTGCCAAAATCTCATCTTCCTGCAGGGGCTTGGAATCTGCTGCCTGATCCCAGTTAGCAACCTTCCCAATACTGGGCCTAGGGCTTCCATGGGAGGGGACTATATCCTAGGCTCAGCCTGGGTCTGTGCCAGCCACTGAGGGAGAGCCTCCCTCCACCCCCAGGCTCTGATGGTGACCTGGAAGAGAGTACTTGATAGTCACAAAGAGAGCTGGCTTGATTTTCTGCCCTCTTTTAATCTGCATTTATTGTGATTCCCTAGACACCCGTGAGTTCTTTTCTTCTAGACCTTCATTATTTGATATCTAATTTTCACAACGCTTCTGTGCTGGCAGGCATCTGGGTGGTCATCTCCCTGCTGATCCTCCCTGCTGTCTGCCCTGCCCTGCCCTGCCCTGCCTGGCCCCCATCTCTCCAGCTGTGTAAACAGGGTGGGTCCCTCACGCTGCAGAGGCCAGGAATAGGTACTCTTGTGAGTACAGGAAGACTTCTCTTTGAGAATTCTTGGGATGTGGGAGCCAGCCAGCCCACCATGGGTGCTAGGGAGACGGGACCTATCATTGTCTAGGAGCTGCAAAGCATTCAGCAAGGAGCTGGTGGGACAGAAGAGGGGGTGGGAGAGGGGTGGACATGGAAAATTCATTAGGCAGGTACAAAGATAGGCTAAAATGTACCTCAAACCTCAGTCCCCAGAGGGGAGGGAAGTTAGAATGAGGCAGCCACTCTTTCGTTCCCACCTCAGAGGTGCTGGCCTCATTTCCAGTTGAGCTACATCTATACATTGGATAGCGTGGGAGTGATATTTTCTGCTGCTTGCCCAATTCTGCTGCCTCCTATGGCAAAGACCCCACCTTCCCAATTTTCCTTGGGGCCTCAAAACTAACCTGTTCCTTTAGGAGAGGAAAACAAAGGGGCCTCTTTTTGGAGAGTCTTTGATGCTAATGGGTATAGCAGAGACCCTGCCTGGAAACATGATCAGTGTGAGCAACTTTTTCTGCACCCCTGGCAATCCACCATATTAGTCAGACCTGGCTATGAAATTGGGCTGGGGATCTGATAACTAGGCTGAATTGAATGTTCTTGTTCTATCTTTCTCTCCGCCATCCCCATTGAAAGCTTGCATCATAGACACTTTTAAAAGCACCTCCTGCATTTCATAGCTCATTATTCAGCATAAAAAGGCTTGGAAGATACAAAGCTAGACACACCCAGAGGGTGGAGAGGAGATGGAGCATTTTTGGTTTCCAATCATGCAGCTCTAACCCATGCCCAGGACATCTTGCAAATGTGTGCTGTTGGTCCCAAGGGGAGATCTGCCAGGCCAGAATGTGCCCAGTATAAACTCGCTTCAGACTGTGAGGAGAAGTCAGAGCTCGCCCGCCCCCAGGTTGGGGAGGTAGATGGAAAGAAGTGGGATGATGCTAGCAAAGTAATAGGGTGGTCTTAGATGTTCAAAGGGCACTTCCAGTAATTAAATACTGGCTTTTATTCCTGGGATTCCTGAATTGTTTGGGGTGAGGTGGGGGAACAAAATACAGTCTGGATCCATGGAGATTATAAGTGGTTTTAGTGCCTAACCCTGCTTGTGGCTTCATATCAGATTCCTGCCTAAACCCCATTTTACCAACTTCCCCCACAGCTTATGGCTTCTTGTGATGTCTCATTCCCTAAAGATGTCTTGGCTTGAGGTAACAGCTTAATATCCCCCAGTCTCCCAGGAGTAACCTTTCTGCACCTTTACCAGTCTGCCATAGCCCTTCCCCCTTCATCTCTCTAGTGTGAAATTCAAGACTTTTGGAATTCCAATGGCTTAATTTGTTAATATCCCACAGACTGTTAGTTAAAGAAATAAGTGGCTGGTTTATTTTATATTTAAGGAGAATAATAATTTGTGGCCTGTGAAGTTCCCTCTCCATTAGCTAAAAATTATCTTACTGAAAGCTCAACCTGGCTGGGAGGATGGTAAAACCAAGGAAAGATCCACAGTCTCCCCACCCCACTGGGAGACACATCCAGGACACCCACAGAGCTCTGGGCCTCTCTGGGAGATGAGGCAGACAGAGTCAGGGTGGGGATGATATTTGTTTGACAACGGATTGTGTTCCTTTAAAAAAAAATTAAAATAATCTTTTAGTTTTTATTATAAAAACAATAGCTGGGAGCTGTGGTGCATGCCTGTCATCCCAACAATTTGGGAGGCCGAGACAGGAGGATTGCCAGTTTGAGGCCAGCCTGGACAGTTTAGCAAGACTCTGTCTCAAAATTAAGAACAAAAGGGCTGGGGGAATAGTTCTCTGGTAGAATGCCCTGGGTTCAATCTCCAGTGCCAAAAGAAAAAAAAATTTACACATGTTCCACTTAGACAACTTGGAAAATACAGAAAAGCATAAAGAAATGAAAACCACACATAATCCCACCACCTGGAGAAAACCATAGGTAAGAGTCTATTATTGTATTTCTTTCCAGCCCTTTTCTAGGGATAACAATCTCTCTCCATCTGTGCCTAAAGCATTACTTTTTCTGATTATAAAAGCAATACATACTCAAGATAAAAATTTCAAATAACAGGAAAAAAGAATAAAATGAAAGTTCCCCCAATTCCACTATTGTGAAATGACTATTCTTGTTATGGGGCACATTCCTTTAGGTCTTTTTGATGTAACTGAGCTCATACAGTCTATGTACTTCTATTTATTGTTCACTTACTATTTTGTCATGTTTATTTCCCATGTTCATAAGTAGATATCTGCATAATCACTGTGTGAATGGACCCTAATTTATTCTTTCAATTTTCAGGAGAGACAGGTTTGGGCAAGTCCACCCTCATGGATACCCTGTTCAATACCAAGTTTGAGGGGGAGCCAGCCACCCACACGCAGCCTGGTGTCCAGCTCCGGTCCAATACCTACGACCTCCAAGAGAGCAACGTGGGGCTGAAGCTCACAATTGTTAGCACAGTAGGCTTTGGGGACCAGATCAACAAGGAAGACAGGTAAGGAAGGCAGTGAGTGGGGTGGGAAGGTTGGTGGGGGTGAGGCACAAGGAGGAACTTTCCATGGGTGTCTTGGAGAAAGCATACATGCTGGGGCCCAGCCTCTTTCAGAATGGAGTGGGCAGATGGCAGGCCCCTCACAAGCACTGTCCCTGCCCACGGTCCTTATCTATAGTAACTGTTCCACTCCATATGCTTTGCCAAAGGAAGAATGTTTTCTCAGTGTATGGGGTGGAGGTCTCGATGCCATTTAGCAAACATTTATGGAGCTCCTACCTTGTGCCAGGTACTGCTGTGCTCTGACAATCTGAAAAGGAATAACTTTGTCTCTGCCCTTGAGGTGCACATGGGCAAGACTGGTTTTAAGCAAATAATTTCCATGCAGAATGGTATGTTCTGTAAAGGACAGGGTACAGAGAGGTAAAGGACAAGTTTCAATGAGACCACAAAGGTGAGAACAGTTCCATGTGGGAAGGTCAGGCAACAGAGCATGTGCTCCCTCTTCTGTCTCTTGAAGGAGAAACTGCTTTGCCAGACAAGCAAGGAATGGGGGAGAAGGGCATTCCAGGCCGAGGTAACTTTGTGCAAAGGTAAAGTGATGCAGAGGATTCTTATATATTCTAGGGAACTGCAGCTTGTTCTGTTTGGCTAGACAGAGGCAAAGTAACTGTGAAGCTGATGAAGCTTAAGCTTCAGAGCCCTCACATCACAGGCCCCTTCCAAGGCCCTGTGACTAATTTTTACTTATAGGGTTGTATTATTATTCTTGGAGGGCCCTTTAAATTGTGTAAACATAGGGCCCTTCAAACCCTGGGTCTGCCCTTGGGCTACCAGTTTGGAATGAACTAGAGAAAAATAGGGGAAATGAGCCTGAAGAAGAAAGTGGGTGCCAGATCCCAAAGGGAGTTATAGAAAGTACAAATGTGTTGCCATAGAAAGATTTTTTAAAGTATATTTTTATTTGTAGATGTACACAATACCTTTTATTTATTTTTATGTGGGGCTGAGGATTGAGCCCAGTGCCTCACATGTGCTAAGCAAGCGCTCTGCCACTGAGCTGCAGCCACAGCCCCTGTTGCAAGCTTTTAAGAAGTAGATTGAGCTGGGTGTGGTGGCACACACTAGTAATCCTAGTGGCTCAGAAGGATCATGAGTTCAAAGTCAGCCTTAGCAACAGCAAGGAGCTAAGCAACTCAGTGAGACCCTGTCTCTAAATAAAATACAAAATAGGGCTGGGGATGTGGCTCAGTGGTCCAGTGGTTAAGTGCCCCTGGGTTTAATCCCCAGTACCAAAAAAAAAAAAAAAAAAAAAAGAGAGAAGTAGAATGATGTAGTCTGATTGGCCTTTGAAACAAGTCCCTTGGGATAATATGAAGAAATATTAGGGGATTGTTGTACCAATGAGTTTGAGGCAAAGGGGAAATAGTTGCTGAGGTAGGGAACAGGAGAAAGATTTGATAAACATTGAATAGGTAAAATTAAAGGAACTTGATAGAACTTTGATGTGGGGTTGTGAAGGGAAAAAGAAGAATTTAGAATGAGGCCTGAATTTCTGGCTTTGGAGACTAGATAAATGGTGGTGGTATTCATAAGATAGAGAAGATTAGAGAGCCAGGTTTTAAGATAATTAGCTATATATTCAGTTTAGACATGTTCAGTTTGACCTTTCTGTGGAATATCCAGATACATTATAGCCTTCAGTGTTAAGCAGTATACAGAGTTGGAGGTCCAAAGAGAGTCTAGGCTGGAAATATAGATTTGGCTTATCAGGGTGTATGTGTTACGTTCCAACAGTGGACATGTGTAAATTGCCCAGGAATCAGAGTGGAGCTAGAAGGATGCTGGGCTAGGAGTTTCAGTTTTTACAGATAAAGGAAAAGACCCTGAAAGGGGGCAAAACAGGAGAGGTAGGAGGAGAGCTGGGTGAGAATGAATGATTCCAGAATGTGTGTGACTGAGGGGTGGGGTGACACTTAGTGATGAGGGTTAGGGTCTGGTAGAGGGTGTGGGTTGGGCACCATCTGGTTTTAACCAGAAGTCATGTGGCTATCACATGTGCTCATCTCAGAAAAGATAATTTATCATTTTGAGTAGAATCTGCTCATCTTTTGAGGATTCTCTTGCTTCTTAGGTGAACTGTATCTTAAATTCTCCTGTTTCTTCCTTAAAGCTACAACAGCTATACTCCTGTCCTTACACCGAATAAATAGACATAGCTTCTTAAAACTTGGAGTGAATTCTGTTTTGCATTTAAAATTCTAAAAGAAGGACACATCTGTTTTTTTACAGGCTTATTTATTGTGCTAATCTTGAGAATAAATTAGACCCAGAGGGAAAGGGGATATTTGGGTCACAATCTTGAGTGCTTAATCTCAGGGAAGATTTTTCAGGAACTCCTTAATTAAACTCTTTCCTTCCTTCCTTCCTTCCTTCCTTCCTTTCTTCCTTCCTTCCTTCCTTCTTTTTTTTGGGAGGGGGTTAGGGATGCTCAGCTACTGAGCTACATACTCAGCCCATTTTATTTTTTTTATTTTGAGACAGGTCCTCATTAAGTTGCTGAGGCTAGCCTTAGACTTGCAATCCTCCTGCCTCAGCCTTCTGAGTTGCTGTGATTACAGTCATGCACAATTTCACCCAGCTCAATTAAATTTCTTACAGTGCTTTCAGTTACATGTGTATCTAACAGTGGACAATGCTTTAATAATGATGGCTTAAAAGGGCTGAATGGATACTGCTCCTTAGAGGCTAATATCCTTTCATTATATTTTTAAAAAATTCTTATTTTCCCTGATTATAAATATGATTCATACTCATAAAAATCAAACTAAACAAAATCAAATATGTAGAAATGAAAAGCTTCCCTGAATTTGGGGAAGCAAGGTGGGAAGAGTTACAGGGATTTTTAATAAAAAGCAGTGTTTTGTACATGCCTCCAGGACCATTTTAGCACAGATATGTCAGTGCAGCTGCATTGAAACAGTGCATCAGAATGTCCTGCTTTATCCAGGTACATGCTTAAGATGGGAAGAGCAGCAACTAAGACTGGATCCTTGGAAAGCTACCATTTAAAGAATGCTGGAACCACACACAGTGGTGCACACCTGTAATTCCAGCTACTCTGGAGGTTGAGGCAGGAAGATCCCAAGTTTGAATTGTGGCAATTTGGCAAGACCCTATCTCCAAATAAAAGAATCAGTGGTAGAGAGCCTCTGGGTTTAATCCCCAGTACCCCCCACCCCCAAAATGGTGGAGACTGCAAAGATAGGCTGAAGATGGGGTACCTAGGAACTTACTAGGCTTTGCTGTCAGACACACCTGGGTTCAAATCCCCTATTGTCATATTACCCAAGGACCTGGAGCAAGGTACTTAAATTTATAGTCTCAGTTTTCAAATCACCTGTAAAGTGGGGATGATGATGATAATAATCCTTACCTTAAGAGGGCTATGATGAAGCATGCTTGACATGTATGGCATAAAAAATACTTAAACAGTGCCTGACTCTGAGTAACTACCTAAGAACACAGGTATTGTTAAGATCATGATTTTTTTTTTTTTGGTAGTACTGGGGATTGATTCCAGAGGTGCTTTACTACTAAGCTACATCCTCAGCCCTTTATTTATTTATTTATTTTATAATTTTTTTTTAGAGAGAGAGAGAGAGAGAGAGAATTTTTTAATATTTATTTTTTTAGTTTTCAGCGGACACAACATCTTTGTTTGTATGTGGTGCTGAGGATCGAACCCAGGCCACACACATGCCAGGCGAGCGCGCTACTGCTTGAGCCACATCCCTAGCCCCCCCTTTTTGTTTTTTATTTGGAGATAAGGTCTTCCTAAGTTGCTGAAGCTGGCTTCAAACTTGTGATCCTCCTCTCAGCCTCCCAAGTTGCTGGGATTATAGGTGTGCGCTACTGTACTCAGTTCTGACCATGGTTTTTATTGATAGAGGAATGGAGGGGGGTATTATGTAGCATATGGGAGAGAATTATTAACCAGGAAAATAAGAACCAAAGAGTTTTCTTATTTTGATAATATGAAAATTTTGGCAATATGAAGGTCATTAGTACATGTAGCAGTAATAATTCCAGGGGAATTGTAGGTATAAGCTAGATTTCCATGATTGCTGAGTGAAAGTGAAGTAAGGATATGAAGACATCAGGATAGCAAAAAGAAGAATAGAACAAAAAATTGAGTCCAAGATCAGATCCATATTTACATGGAAATTTAGTATATGTAAGTAAGCAGGCAAAGAATGGACTATTCAAAAAAATGATGCTGGGAAAACAGGCCATCTGTTTAGAAAAAAACAAAATGGGACCCTCTCACACAAACACTACCCACAAAAATAGATTCCTGTTGGACTAAAAACAAATTCTAAAAATGTAGGGAGAAAAAAAAGTAAGGAAAAAATGTCAGAGAATATTTTTATAACTTTGAGGGTAGAGAATCTTTTCCAGGCATGATACAAAACCCAAAAGTCATAGAAGAAAAGACAAATGTAAATTCATTTTAAAAATACTTTTCGTTATTTTTTAATTATTATTATTTTTTTAGTACTGGGGATTGAGCCCAGGGACTTTTAAACACTGAGCCCCATCCTCAGTTCTTTTTATTTTTATTTTGAGACAAGGTCTCACTAAGTTGATTAGGGCCTTGCTACCTGAGGCTGATCTGAGTTCCTTCTGCCTCAGCCTCCTGAGCTGCTGGGATTATACTCAGGGAATCACACATGCTAGGCAAGTGCTTTACCAGTGAACCACATCCCCTGCCTAGTACTTTTATATATCATAAATAAAATTAAAAACAAGCTAGAGATGGGGAAAAATATTTACAACCCACATAATAACACAAATAATTTTTCTAAAATGTAAAAGGAACTTCTACAATTCAATGAGAAACAAACTATTAATTGACAAAGGGAAATACAAATGACCAATCAACATGTAAAATAATGCTCATTCAATTTCCCCAGTGATTTAGGGAAATGCAAAATAAAACA